GGAGGTCAGTCACCCTGCAGGTTGCTGGTCAGTGTTAAGAGGAGGTAATTTTCTCTCAGGAATTCTATAAGCATTGACTAAATCATAAAGTATATATTTAAGAGTGAGGCGTGAGTGATTTTTTTTCAGATAATAATAATCATTGCATTCGATATAGCCCCTTCACAGGCAATTGCTGTCAAATGTAGTGACTGTTAATGTACACCAGCACAATGATCAATTTGCACAGAACGATCCCACATCAGTCCTGAAAGTTGGGGGTGAAGACATGTCCTGCACCATGCATTGTTATCATTATTTTATCTAGGTTTGGTGAACCTTGATAAAAATCAGTAAACATCCATTAATATTTGTCATTTTTTGCGATGTTCCACAATCTGACGAAAATACATTTTCAGCGATAAAAATCAATCTTTAAGACTATAAATTGACCAGATTTACAATAGAAATTTACATTTTTATGGTGCCTTTCATGTCGGGAGGATGTCCTGAAGCACTTAAGAGTGGCTGTGCATTTAGTTTGGGGGTGGGAACTGAGAGGGTAGGGAGGGGAAAGATGCAGGTTGTGAACCTACAACCTTCTGACTCAGAGGTGACTGAGCCAGGCTGACACCTTTCAGGGACTTCCATGACCTTTTGGACAAGGTAGTAGAGAGAGTTTGACATCCTGGTAAGAGTCAGTACCTTCAAGAGAGGAGGGGAGCAAATTGTTGAGGTGAATCGAATCATTCAGCATAGAAAGAGCCCATCGTGCCTGTGATAGCTTCTTGAAAGAGCTACAATCTAGTCCCACTCCCCCAATCTTACCCCATAGCCCTGCAGATTTTTCCTTTTTAAGTACCTATCTAATTCCCTTTTGAATGCTATTATCGAATCTGCTTCCACTACGCTTTCACACAGTGCATTACAGACTGTAACAACTCTCTGGGTAAAAAAATATTCTTCTCATCTCCCCTCTGGTTGTTTTACCAATTATCCTAAATCTGTGGCCTTTGGTTACCGACCCACTAGCCAGAGGAAACAGTTTCCCCCTATCTACTCTATCAAAACCCCTCATCATTTTGAACACCTCATTTAAATCTCCCCTCAACCTTTTCTGTTCTAAGGAGAATAATCCCTTCTTAGAATCATGACTAATATCACCAGGACAATGAATGTAAGACAGGCAATATCTATATAACAGTTTGCTCATTATACAGTATAACTTAATTTCTTTCAAAAGAAAACACAGCTCTAATAATGTGCCAAAAACAAGATGATGATCCTTAACAGAAGGCATTTTGTGCAAAAGATTAAGCTTTAGGCATTTTGCTATCTTTGCAATGCATAAACATTATTCGATTGACTGAATTACACTGCTTGGAAAGGGATGTTATGCTTGGATCAAGTATAGGCATTCAAATGTTATGCCTGGATTGGGAATTTTGGCATGATTTAAGTGACTTGGCACACTGGAATTTCAGATCAATGTTTTTGTGCATATCAGCATGTTTTAGTAAATGTGTTAAATCATCTGAGGCGACAATGACTTGTCTGAGAGGCACTTGAAATAGATATGTTCTGAAAAGAAATACCAGCCACAATCAGAACTGAGATAAACAAAGCCTTAAACAAGCATTTACCTGACATCCAGCATTTCCTGAACATCCTCTTCTTTTACTTCAATCAATATTTAACTTTATCAAAGTGGATTAGTGTATTCTCAGCTTGTTTAGCGATACCTCTTTATTACATTTCAGTTTGAAAATGCAACATAACGATCCCATGTCCAGAAACGCCTACGCTCAGGCATACTATGTGAATCACACACTTGAGTCTTCAGTTTGTAAATGTGTCTTTTACATGTAAAGATTATCATTCTATGATTGAAAAACACATTATGAAGCAGCAGAGTAATTGGTGCCACAGAACCATAGAAATCTGCCAAACTGGAATAGGCAATTCGTCCAATTGTATTAGATTTGCAGCAAAAAAAAATGCCTTGGTGTAAAGTGTTTCTTTTCAGGAGAATTCCAGGTCATCTCACCAGCTTATGAGAATTCCAGGTCATCTCACCAGCTCTGAGCTGAGGGCTCATTGTAGCCAATTTCTCACAGTTCAGAGTCATATACAGATTTCTCTGCTTTTTTTTATATTGAGGTGCTTTTATTCCCACTGTTGTTATCTAAAATCCAAGCAGCGTTGTTTTACAGTTCATTAAAGACTGTTAAGCATTCATGTTAGGAATTGAACAACTTTCCACCATTTTGCACGTTTTTTAAAATTTAAGGCAAAATAGGCTCACAGGCCAATTAGCTAGATGTAATTTAATAGATTAATGTTTACTCTGAATTCATATGAGCAACACTGAATACTTAGAAGCCAGGTTTAAGGGAAAAAAATTCTACACAACCTAAATGACATTGTTGATTAAATAAAAAGATATTTGAATTGGTGAAGCCAATGGGATAGAATTCTGGCACTCTATCATGCATTCCTTGTGATAGTTAACACCAGGAACACATTGTGAAACACTGCAAATGTTACCCCATTATCCATTAAACCAGTTCATTCAGGAAAGAGACAGTGGTGGGCTTAGTGTATTATGACAAAACTGGAACAGGTGGTGGAGCAATCTGTTGTATGAACTCAAGAGGTGTTGTGGTTGTTTTATTATGAACCTGGATTTAATAGATAAATTCTGAGCAGGCAACCAGACCATGTTTTATTAAAAAATAACATTGAGCAAATATCCTGTTTCGGTTTGTAGATGTAATTAATTATTTTGGACTCATCCGAAGTGGGGCAGATTGTTTTCACTGTCTGAGATCAACTTGTAGGTCTGGCAACTCTAGCCTGCAAGAGAGATAGCAGCCAGCAATAACAATGCTCTTCCTCAGTCAATTGATGTAGAACAATGGGCATAGGCAGGACGGAGGATGACTTATCATCGCTGGCCACTCCAACAGCAATGAAAGAAACCAAAGTACAGAGTTGTTTTTGTCCTAACCAAGGGGTTTTGCCCGAGTTTCATTCCAACATATTTCAATAAAGTCCACACTTACGCAATACCTCTGGCTGTGGCAGCTCGTGGTTAACAAACAGGCACTTTGTGCAGAGCCAGACCCAGTGACAGAAGACATAAAGCTTGAGAGAGAAAATAGTAGAGTTCTGATATGAACCTGTTAAATAAAAGACACTTGGGGGCTGGGATGAAAATACCTCAGATCATTACACATCTTTCTAAAGTAATGTTAACAGAATCTCACGAGAGACCATCAGATTGAAGACCACCGTGATCATGATCACTATATAGTGATTTCCCCCAGAACAGGAAAGAATGATAGAAAATTCCTTTGTAGGAAATTCCTGACTTCCCCTTTGTAGCATCTATCATTTCAAGACGTCTCACACAATCGCTTTGCACAAAATTACGGTCAAGTATCGTGTCTTTTATTGTAGAGAAGCACGGCAGCCGTTTGTGAACAGCAAGTTCCCATAAGGAGCCATGAAAGTAACTAACCAATTAATCTGGTGGATTGTTGGTCAGGACACCAGGAGAAACTCTCTTTTAGAGAGTTAGAGCACTTCCCTCGCAAATGAGAAGACATGGGTTTGATTCCCGACAGGGCGAAACGTTAGGCAACTTTCCTTACTACACACTCCTGTTTACCTAGCAGGAAATAGGAACCCGATTGTTAGTTGATTGGCGCATCGCTTTTCTGGAAGTAATAATTCCTTCAAAAAAACAAAATAATAATAATAATTTCATCACCCAATTCACGACTGTTTGTGGGACACTGCTGTGCGCAATTGGCTGCCGCATTTGAATCCCACAAAACATATGGTCAATTCATTTTACAGTATATTCTGTGAGGTGCTTTGAGACATCTAGAAGACGTGATAAGGCTCTATATCAAATGCAAGGATTATTATTTTACTATGTAGGGGATAGAAGGAAAATAGCTTTCTGTCTGGAATGATGATCACAAACTATCACGTGTTGGTCTGTAACAGGTACTGAAAGACAGGATTCACTGCTGATTTTCCAATAAAGACTCTTTGTCCAAGCCTAACTTGTTTGCTATTATTGAGGTTTAGTTTACAGTATTTTCTTACACTGAAATGCCTTAAATAGGATTCTGAGTCACACAGATAGTAGTGGGGATGGGGAAGCAATTTGTTTAATTTGCATATCATGAGCTACTTTAAAAATGCTACTTGTGACAGACAAATAAGAGCGACTAACAAGGTGAAACTGTGGATATATAGAGCCAGCGGCTGCAGCTTAGAGCTGTCTGAAAACTCAATTTCTGCTCCGAAAACGCAGCTAACAGCTACTATGTTGACTATAACATCAAGTTTTTTCTACAACTGAAACTAACTGCCTCTGCAATATTTTCACTGCTGTTTCACATGTTGCCCTGTGTTGAGTAGTGTTAGCACTTGTTTCTCACTTATTTTGGTACATACTGGTTATCCAAAACTTACACAGAATAACTCCTGGAGCTTGCTCAAATGCCATAGGGAGTTGGGGAGTAATTTCTTGGGCAAGTCCCTTCTCCCCCTTGAATTAGCCATATTTTCTCTGGGGTTGTTACACCTCCCCTAGGAGAGGACTGAATGCTCAGAGCCAGGAGAGAGGTGCAGTTAGAACATTGGGTGGAGAGTGGAAAAAGGAAGATTCTTCTTGAAGTGGACTTGATGGGCCTCTAGGATTTTTTCCCTTTCTCTGTGTATCTGTGAGATGAAATTTGCAGTGTTTCATAGCGCATTCCTTGTGTTAGTAAAAGGGTTTTGTCAAAATGTGTTCTTTTGATCATTATATATCTATAGAGTGAATATGCGTATATGTATACATGCTTATGTATTAAGTGTTTCTAGAAATCGTTGTAACCACAGAATTGTGGAGACTGGCTCTGTTAGCAAAAGAGAGGCAGTCACCTTAGTACCAGCTGCTGTAAACACACTCGACTTTAACACAATGAACATAATTGATAACCAGTTGGTACATTGGCAGAAACATTTCTCAAGGCCTAGCCTGTCACGAGGTAAGAAGGGAGCTGGACCTAGAAGATTAGGACAGAGTAGCAACAAATGGAGGAATTGTTTGTACTAGATACATTAGTAAGAATGGAATGCTTGAGAACCATTTTGCAGGAAAGATAAGGATAGGGGCAAAAGCGTGGTTCGACACAACAGTTGGGGAAGCATCCCAAGAAGAGAAGTGAAGATCTCCCTCCTGCCGCTGTTGTCCGGACATCGGGAACGGGTAATATGTTTTCAGTTCTGTTTGCTAGGCAGAGAAGTAATAATAGTAGTAGTAGTTGGTCCGCTTGAAACACAGAAGTCAGGTTAGGCAGCACGAGTGAGGTGCTGGGCTAAGAGCTGATTGTTTCTGTTGAGTTTATAGGAGCCATTCTGTGTGATTGTTGTGATTAAGTATTGTTTTTATAGGATTGGTTGTGTCCGAGGGTTTACCGGGCGCCAGTATTACAGAATCAGTTGTCCCTGAGGGATTTCCAGATGTGTATGTTGAGGTACGTTCTCGGGCTTATTATTTTGTCTGCAGTACTGAGCAATTCCTGAGTGCATGCTGTTGTTTCTCAATTATTTAATTTGTATATCTGCGTTGTAATATTATTGTGTTGTTAATGTCATATAATTTGATTACACATTGTTGAACTTTGCCGTTTGTCATATATATATATGATATTAGTGGAATAAACACTATACTATAACCACCGCCTGTCGAATTATTAACACTTGTGCAATTCACACTGTAATTGCTTTGTCTTTGATAACTCATCAGGCTGCAGTCGCCTTCATCACGGTTTCTCCAAGGGCTACAGCCGCATCTTGCTTCTGGACCTGCGATCCCTGGTCCTGTCATATTGGAGGCACATTTTCAGTAAAGGAGAGGAAAATGACTCAATTCAGTTTGTTCTGTGGTGTTGAAATCCAGTGTCAGAGAAGTGGCAAGTGCTTTGGGCCATTCTCCTGATGTGAAAGAAGCTATATAAAATGTATTGTATTGTTAAGCAGACATTGAGAGCAGGGCATCCCTTGAATGAGTGACGAGTCTCTGGTGGTAGGCTTCACTATTAAAGCTTGTTCCATGTTTGTTCTGCGCTGGTGATACTCTTAACACCTGCACTAATGCTGACTCATATCGACATTGCTGTACATAATTATCTTCAAATAGTCACCTGTTCCAAGTCATAAATAATACCACCAGAGAGCAGAAACCACTGTAGTTCCTGATGCCAATAATTACTCAAGGTTGTTTCCAGTGATAATATTGTGCTTTGAATTTAAAAGCAATTATTTATATTGTCAAAAAATATTATTCTATTTAGGTTCAGAGGTTAACCCCAGAAAAAGAGTCCACATATCTGAATGCTTGAGTACTGAACACAGCCTGCAAAATACACCTATTTGGGGTCTAATTTGAAACTTCAAATAGCTCTACAGCATCGCTCTCTAGAAAGCTTTCAAGGCTACTAAATGCAGCAGAATTCTACAGAGGACAAAAAAATGTCAAAGAGATGACACAACAAATGTGCATGATACAATACAATTTACATTTATATAGCACCACTCACATTGGAAGGACATCTCAAAGCACTTCACAGTGCTGAATAAGACCCAAGCTGGGGGTGGCAGCCGAATAATAACCGAAAGCACAATTAAAATTAAAATAATTGCTTGAAATGTGCTTTGAAAGACGGGAGTGAGTGAGGAGGGGACGGGCAGCCTCAGAATTTATAGTGGGGGGGGGGGGGGGGGAGGAGGAGGAGTGTTGGGAAGGGTGGTTTCACTTGTATACAATGTACATCAAGGTGGAGTCCTGTAGCTCAGTGGTTAGAGCACTCGCTTTGCAAGTGAGAGACCTGAGTTCAATTCCAGGCAGGGCGAAACCTTGGGCAAGTTTCCTTACTCCACACGCTTAATAATAATCCCTCCAAAAAAACAAAACAATAATAAATTGGTTATTTTCAATCTACGACCGTTTGTGGGACATTGCTGTGCGCAATTGGCTGCCGCGTTCGCCCACAAATATACAGTCAATTCACTTTACAGTATATTCTGTGAAGCGCTTTGGGACGTTAAGAAGACGTGAAAGGCGCTATATCAAAAATGCAAGGATTATTATTATATTATTATCAAGCCCTCCACCATATTTTTCCTACTTTGGAAAAAGCTTCCACCCAGGTCCCTCTTCCTCGGATCTCTTCTCCCTCTGGACTTCCACCCACAGCAGTCCTGATGAAGCCATCAAACTGCTAAATGATTGCTTTTCTGCAACACTCAACTCCCTTGCCCCCCTGAAATCCAGGTCTGTCTCCAAATCTACCCACTTCCCCCGTATAGCAGTCACCTCTGCTCCCTCAATATGAAAACCCGGACACTCGAGCGCAGATGGCACAAATCCAGCTTCAAAATTCATCGCCAGCTGTGACTCGAGGATTACCGCAACTATCACCTCTCCCTCTTGCAAACCAAATCTGCCTTTTACCTCAAAACCATTTTGGAGGCTAAAAACATCCCAAAGGCACTGTTCTCCACCATTTATCACCTCCTCTGCACACCCCCACCCCTCCAAGCCGCATCCATCCTGTGCATATATATATATATATAATAAACAAAGAATGCAACAATATTCTCATGATCCTTTAGGTAACTATTTTTTCCTAGACTCCCCTTTCACTGACAGCTTTAATTTTAAGATTGTGCCCTCTATTCCTGGATTCCCTATCTACAGTGAAGTGAAGAGTCATTCCCTATTTACTTTGTTAATACACTTTATTACATTGAACGCTTCAATTAGATCACCCCATAACTTCCTGAACTCCCACAAAAAACTCAAATTTATTCAGCATCCCATTGGAGTTCACAAGTTCACAAGAGAGGTTTGGGTGAAGTAGGCTCTTCAGCCTATCTGATCTCATTCTTCCATCACAGCAAAAGAGTGTTTTTCAAATGTGTCCTGACGTCAACCACCCTTCCTGTTCCAGTAGTTAATTATCCTCTGGATGAAGAAATGCTTCCTATTGTTGTCTTTAACAATAAGAATAATATTCCTTGCATTTGACATAGCAGATTATCACATCATTGACCAAACTTTTATCATTATTTCGTTTTTTTGAAGCAATCCGCCAATCGACTAACAACCAGATTCCCTAATTACTGCTAGGTAAACAGAGGTGTGTGGAGTAAGCAAACTTGCCTAAGGTTTTGCCCCCACCCACCTCCCCAGGATTCATACTGGTCCTCTCGCTTGCGAGGCGAATGGTCGAACCAATACACTACGGGACTCCAAAAATGACCTATGTAATTATAGCATATATGTATTAAAAATGATATAATTAGCATTTTTAAAAAAACTCCTAAAGATTCATCCCTAAAACGTCACACTTTGTGTTTTCATATTTGAAGGTATACAAAGTTTTATTTTATATAAAAAAAAAGTAACTGCTATTCTAACTCATCCAAAACTCTGGAAACCGTATTCTTACCCATACTATGATCTGCATGCCTATTACCTCCATCCTCACCAGAATTCCAGCACCTTGCAGATCTACTTTTATCCATGTACAGTCTTGACCCTCCCTACCTATTCATTCTATTTGAACTCTGTTAATCATAGAAATATACAGCACAGAAGGAGGCCATTTGGCCCATTGTGTCTGTGCTGGAGCTTTTTAGTCCCTATGCCCACAAAAAATACAATCAATCCACTTTACAGTTTATCCTGTGAAGCGCTTTGAGGCATCTTGATGATGTGAATAACACTATATTAAATGCAAGGATTATTATTATTATGCCGCTGCTCCCTCCCTGGAATTTTCTTCCCACTCTTTGTCTTGCTTTAACTTTTCCTGCAAACGCAATCCTGTAAAAACATATCTCTTTGACTACACATTTGGTCAACATCTTTATTGATCAAAAAAACACAGTGTAGTTAGGATAATGGAATGTCCTCCTGGGAAAGGTGGTTGGGGGAGAATCCATATTGGCTTTCAAAAACAAACTAGATAAATATCTAAAAATAAGTCAACTACAGGGGTATGGGGACAGGTAATCTGGACTGTAAGGATTGCTCTTAAGAGTTTGGCACAGAAACAAATGACCTTCTTTGCTGTAAATTTCTTTGGTTCTATTAACAGCTAGGCAGGTGCTCATGGTAAAGAGAAGGCTTTCCTGTAGGGGACTTTCCTGCACTGTTTCCCACTTTGAGATGTTCTTTCTGAAAAGAAAATATGAAAACTATTAAGTGAGTCACCTGGTTATCTTTGTTTAAAGTAGGCTCTTTTTTTCCCAAACACATAGAGAAAATTATGTTTCATCTGAAATGAAGTACTTCTCTACAGTCCTCAGAATTTGCTAGGGTGTCTCTGACACTCATATTTAGAGTGTGCTATTTTCCATTTTTCAGAGATTATGCAAAGAACAAATTATGAATTTATTGTTACCTAAATGGCCAATGAATATTACATTTTAAGAGAACTGTTTAGGTACCAATTGTTTGAATTTTTTCACTAAACCTTCCTATCTTGCTGCCATTCCCTGCAAGCAGCCTTCCCTTTAAGCAATCATTACAGTTCCATTTACCTTACTCCAAACTCCTGTAGTTGACTTAATTTTTGGTATTTATCCAGTTCACTTTTGAAAGCCAATATGGATTCTCCCCCAACCACCTCTCCCAAAATGACATTCCATATCCTAACTACTCTGTGTGTGAAAACATTCTGCTAATCTCCCCATTTGTTTGTTTGCTAACTATCTTAAGTTGATGCCCTCTAGTGACTGACTCATCGACCAGTGGAAATAGTTTCTCTCAATTGATTCTATCAAAATAACAATCTGCATTTATAAAGTGCCCTTCACATAGGCAGTGTCTCGGAGTGCTTAACAGTAATGAAGCTTGACGCTGTGTCGTGAGAGGAGTGACCATAGACATGGTCAAAGAGAAAGGTCTTCAGGTGTGATTTGAAGATGGGGAAGGAGGAGGCAAGGGATTAAGCCAGAGGTTCATTGTTTTAGGAAAAAGTAACTGAAAATACAGTGCCCAATGGTGGAGCAGAGGGGACTAGACAACTGAGAAAAGGCCGAATGGGTAGTGGAACTGGGGGTTAGCAGGTCAAAGATTAGCGGGTTAGCAGGTATGTGCCAAGGTATGTGGTGGAGTCCTGTAGCTCAGTGGTTAGAGCACTCACTTTGCAAGCGAGAGACCTGAGTTCAATTCCAGACAGGGCGAAACCTTGGGCAAGTTTCCTTACTCCACACGCCTAATAATAATCCCTCCAAAAAAAAAACAATAATAAATTGGTCATTTTCAATCTACGACCGTTTGTGGGCCATTGCTGTGCGCAATTGGCTGCCGCGTTCGCCCACAAATATACAGTCAATTCACTTTACAGTGTGTTCTGTGATTCGCTTTGGGACGTCCTCACGACGTGAAAAGTGCTATATCAAATGCAAGGATTATTATTATTATTATTAAGGCATGAAACCCCCTTATAATTTTGAAAGCCTC